GCAGGGCCATGAGAATTGAGTCCTAAAGGGGCTACGACAAGAGTGGGGGATTAAAGGACCTGCCCAAGATAGTTGGAACTGGATGACTCAGATGGTTCAGCTCAAGTCAGAATCAGTTAAAGAAGGGCTAAGAGAAAAATAATGGGGAGACAGGAAGGAAAAATCCAAGTTGAGAGGATAGAGGGTCCAAGTGAAAGTAGGTCAGGAACAAAACACATTTGAATTTAGAAATATTGGCAAGTTTGGTGAGAGGCCTGAAAATGGGCTCCATTAATCATCTGGATCTGCCCGCATTAGATTTGAGTAGTTTCTTTGCAAACCTCATATAGTAACTTTAATTTTGCAGGGCTCATGTGGTTTTATTATACTCTTGTCCTTCAATCAATCTCACGTCCAGAGAAAAAGTGCTCAATAGCACACATTATTTATTTTAAAGTAATAATACTTTTATATTAAAAAAGTAATTTGGCTTCTCCCTTGAGATAATATGTGAGATGCCTCGCCCTCAGTTGAGGATGGTTTTTTATTCCTTTAGTTGCCAAATCTTTATTTATACTTACTAAACAATAGGGCAATGGGTCTTTCTCAAAAAAGTCTTCCTAAATAGTAGGTTTGACCTTTTCACAAATGGAGAAGCACTTGATTTTTTGGCATCAAGAATTCCAAAAAACGTGAAGCCTTTGGGATCACGGATGTTTGCAAATGGCACCCAAGGGCGAGGTCAGTATTATGAACTAAGTAACCCAATGTTGACATGGCAAAGTAGCAGCACCCTGGGATAGCTTCGATTACACCATCAGAAACCAAATCAGTCATAGAATTCTTAACCTAGTCTCTTTCCTCAGTAGTTCATGCCCTTCCTATGTAAAAATCAGATTTTTAAAAAAATATTCTTTTGGGGTTATTAAATTTCTATTCTGTGTCCATATCCATTTTTTCTGAAATCAACTTATTCAATGTTAGTGTTCTCATTCCTCAACTTAGTATTCTCAGATCGTCCCCCAATTTCTTCACACTCACCATATTCTCAACATATGATCAATTATTCTGTCAGAGTTAATCTAACCACATATTTCTCCAAAGAGCTGTGCTTCTGTTTTGCATGCATATGATATTTATGGTAGCAGTGCCTTTTGACTTTTGATAAGAAGCTTAATCAAATAAGCTTTGAGCCTTTACTGAATTTATAATACAAAATTACTTTTTTAGAAAGTCCATGACTACGAATAATATTTTGTTCCTAAAATATTTTTTTTTATTTTAATGTAGTCTGTCTATGGTTTACAAAATGATATTAGAAGTCACAGTCCCACCCACACACCTACACCAGAAACTAAGCCACCAACAGAAGATGAATTGCAACAGCAGGTGGGTCGGTATGTAAACAACCTGTTAAAGGGTTACAGCCAGATGGTGAATGTTAGCAGTGCATTATTTTAAACGGTTATGGAGATCTTCAGTTAAAAGGAATGAAATTGTCTAATTTTGAAGCACACTGTTACTTGAAAATGCATCAGCACATGGCAGTGTTTTTCGAAACTCTCCACTCTATATTTACCCAAATCCTTTTTCCTCTAACCAGTTTTTAAAACTCACGCACACGGGTCTGTACGTGCCTCCATGATGAGTAGTTACTTTGTAATCCAGAATTCTGTCTTAAAAAAGGAGAGGACTAGAGACTGGGGACATTGAGTCATGCATTTCCCATATTCAGTGACGTGACATTGTCTTCACGGAAAAGTGCTTATTATTCTTTCGACAGTACTGATTTCTTTACACCTCTTAAAGTTTTCCTTTATCACTGGTATACAGTCATGGTATATACTTCTTTTTTTAGTAACTGATCAATTGTTTTGGCTCCAAGTACTATTTCAAAGCAAACACCAGTTTCTCTTATATCAAATAATAGTTAAATCTCTTGATTGGTTCAGTCGTGGGGCTTTTCTCCCCTTTTGATTCTTTTTCCCTAATAATTTACTATCACATGGTTCATTAATAGTAAAACACATTTACATATAAATATAGTATATTTATCATCACCATGAAGGAAAAGTAATTCAGAGAGTTCTTAGTTCAAGTTGTCCACGTGAGAATATGTCCAGGTGAACTTATCATGAATTGCTGATAAAATTATTCTCAAAACGTATCATCGGAGCTTTCTTAGCATTAGGAAGTAGGATTTATTTTGAAAATATAGTAACAAATAATAAGTGCGTTTATTTTCTGAATTAAATATTTGGAGGGAAATGTGATTCTGGGTTAAGCTATTCACCATGAATGAATGTTTAAAATCTCCATAACACTTTTAAAATAAAGTGACATTCTGTTCAAGCAGGCAGAGTGTTCAAATTTATTACTGTTCTAAAGTGACATATATGATGTTTACATTAAAATATTTTTTGTTAACTCTTTCAAAGACTCCTGCTTTAATTTGTTTATCAACTTTGAAATTTTACTGGCTTAATATACTCTTGCTCAGAATTGCCCAGTCTATCAGGAATTTAAGGTTGAAAATTGTGAGAATA